TATATTTATATATTTGTACTTCAACATATGGAAGCTCTGCCGCGCTGAATATAGATGAGCTGCGTATTCGGTAGGGGTCAGCAGCCGTGGGACACATGCTGCGACGCCGTGGGTGAGCAAATCTACGCCATATATGATATCATGACTGATTTACTAACGCAATTTGTTCTGTCTCGTGTCGTGTGTGCGGCATCGCATGTTTTGGCTACAACAATCTTCGAATGATCCGTGCCCAGGATGGTCGCAGAATACCTCCTCGTTTTACCCTCCTAGGGAGAGTTGTGTACGAATGTATCCTTCTGCTCGGCCCCAGCTTGCCCTCGAAGTGTACGTGTGGCTTCGGGGTGTATTGTGTTCCGCTGCTGATCGGATTACAGCTCTACGAGCGCCAGCAGTGGGCGTAGTCCGAACTGGCTGGCTGCTTGCGGAACCGGGTTCCACCTGACAGGTTTTGTCTTGTGTACGTGATAGGGCGAGGGTGGTGGGGTTGTCGCCTCCTTTTTCCGACATGTGTTGGGCGAACGTGCGCATAATGGGTGCGCACCCCCGATGTTTTCATTGTTCGCTCACAGAGATGAACGGCATGGAAATTGTATTGCAGCATGGATGGCGCCATTCAGGATGGCGCTATTTCGAGTGGGATTTATTCTGGTCCTTGTGTTGCTCGAGATTGCCCATGGATGAGCAACGTTCACTTCACGAGCAAAATGAGATCTGCAATTACCTTACCGACGTTTGTCTTGCCGATGCCTGGCGCGGTGACGATGTGATGCTGGGAGAGTGGACGCCAACCGATGGGGACCGCAGTGAACAGGAGTGGACGCAGAGTGATGCCGCACTGCAGTGAGGCGGTAAGCGAGGGTCAGCAGGGGATGGCCGGGGTCAGGTGGGCGGGGAGAGGCGACGGGCAGTGTCACGTTCGACTGGGGGCATGTGGGGGATGTGCAGTGCTGGAGCCCATAAGCTGGAGCGGACCAATGGGAGGGAGACACAGCGGAACGAGAGGCTTCTTCCGTTGGGCAATTAGGCTCTGAGACGTCGAGAAGCGCTGGAGCAGCGAGTACCCGAGATCGTCGCGGCAGGTTGGTGTACTCGCTCACTGCATCTCTGCTGCTGTGCTCTGGACATGCAGACTGTCACATGCGCCCGTGTCGGCGGGTGCTGTTCGGCGGGAGGGGCACAACAGTTGAACAAGAGAGTATACCTGATTGCCGCGTGCGATGCCGAGTGCATTAACCGTAGTTTGGCGGTGGCAAATTGTCACCACGATTGAATTGCAAAGGCGAACGTTTGTTGTATATGGAGACATTCTGCCCGGGTCCAGAATTAGATGGAATGCGTACAGGTGGAGGTGATCGTGGCATTGGAATGGACTCTTGGGGGGCGGCGCTGCTCAGGCTATGCCTCCTTTGTGAGCCCCCGCGGGCGTTCTTGGCGGCCACAGAACAAAGTGTATTGGATGGTTGCAAGTAAGTGACTGTACATATGTACTTTCAATCGTTTAGCGGAAAGGCACCGACCCAAGATCGGGCGAGGAGCCGATCCGGGAAAGGCGCGCCCAGCGCCCGGGGCCATGCGTGCGCGATCACGCCGATGACTGCAGTCTCGTCGCAAGGTCCTCCCTGACCGCGGTCACGCATATAAAAGCCCATCCGCTCCAACCATGTTCCGCCGCCCTGCTCGTCTCTTCATCGCTCCTCCTCCTCCACCGACCCTCGACCCGACATGCCACCCTCGGGCCCCTCTCTCGTAGCCTCGTATCCCCCAGAGCTCCTCTCCGCCATATGTGCGCATATATTCGCCGCCGGAATACCCCCTTCCATCCCGTCGCTCGACCCTCTGTTATGTTCGGACAATTCTGTCCCGACCGCTTCTCCTTCGTCATACCCTTCTGCGCACTGGCAAGATTCTGTCATCAGAAAAACTCTCGCAAGCTTGTGCACCGTCAACAGGGCCTGGTCCGAGGCGGCCAGACCCTGGCTATGGCGCAAGATTGAAATCCGTCTCCCACACAGCTGGCTATCTCTCGTAGACCAGATTGCTGTCCACGACGACGAGGAGCTCGACCAAGACCAGGCCGCGCTCCTTGTTGATCAGACCATGCAACAAGTCGAGAGTGCTGCGCTCGCCACAAAGGATGCTTTCGGCGACTTGTCCGACAAGACCGCTGCCTTCGAGCTGCATGAAAAGGTGCTCGAGCAATTGAGTGGTCCGGACGGGTCCATCCCTCCGGAGTTGCTGACTCCTCTCGCCAGTCGTGATCCGAGCCCGCGACGTCTCCGACACAAGAGTAAGAGTCCCGTCCGCTGGCAGCTCTTGCGCTCCATCAGCGATGCTGTACGAATCATTATGGAGAACGATATGCCGGGGCTGTATGGTATGTCCAGGCATTTTTTTGTCAGGGGGCTGGGCCACGCCTGACCCAAAATTTGTGACAGTGCCGGAGCCGAATGACCCGCACCCAGGCCGTTTGGTCCGTCACCTCGACTTCAACTATTTCCGGACCATCGGCATGAGACGCTCTATTGAAGAAGGCGTCAACAATCGCTTTGTAACTGGCGACCGACTTGAGTTGGTGCTCAAGGTATGTCGTTTGAATACAGTCTTAAACGCCTCGAGCCGATGCTTTCGGTTAGGAAATGCCGTCTCTCTTGGCATTTGGTGCCACAGAATATATGGATGGCGCCCTCACATACCCCGTGTTGAAAGAATTGTTCCTGCGAGGCGCCGTATCGCGTGGTCGCGGACGTCCTCCACGTGGACGCGACGTCGTCATGTATGACCCCAACGACACCGAGCAGGAGGACATGGAGCGGCGCCGGGAGTGCAAGGAGTTGGAAGCTATTGACCTGACGGGCTGCGTCAGTGTCGTCTTCGTTGACGCACTGCTGCAGTTTGTCCAGAGCCACTTGATCGACCACTCAGATCTGGGATCGAGCGACACCGATGACGAAGGCGTAGAGAGGGATCGCGGGAGAGCCAGATCTCGCAATGCCGTCCACGACGAACAGGACGACCGGCTCCTTCTGTCTGGTCTGCGTCGGCTCGGACTTCGTGGGGTCAAGTCTATTCAGTCCCACATTCTCAGCTCCTTCGTTCTTGCCTTCCCGTCCCTGACTCATCTAGACCTTTCATGCACCCGCGTGACACCGGATCTTCTAGACGCTCTAGGTACGTCTCGCATGATCAAGCTGCAGTCCCTCGCACTCGAGCGCTGCAATTGGCTTACCGGCGAGAGCATCCGAACTTTCTTGGTCGACGCACCTGCAGCAAGGGGTATCCGCGAACTGAGTCTCTACGGAGACTGGACATACCCTTCGCCTCTCTCAGAAGACGATCTCCGAGAGATCTTCCTGCAGGCACCCTGCTTCCGGAGCGGCAAGCTCGTGTATCTCGATCTCTCCAGCGCACCGCTGTCCAGGGCAGTTCTCGCAGACTGCGAGCTGCAGCCGTGCCTGCGCTCGCTCGGCCTGTCGCACATCCGCAACCTGGAGCTCAGCGCGGTCGCGGACTTTTTGAAGGACAAGGCGCCGAACGTGGAGGTGCTCACCCTCGTCGCGACCTCCCCCGAGCTCGGCTACGGCTCGCAGGTCGTGCCCGTGCGCCAGGCGACGGTGCACCTGCATGCGCACCTCATCCGGCCGCTGTGCACGCCGCCGTTCTCGTTCAGCTTGACGCCCGGGAAGAAGAGCGCGCCAGCGCCGACACGGCTGCGCGTTATTGAGCTCGCGGTGGCGCTCCTCGCGAGCGTGGGCTCGGGCGCGGGCTCGTGGCGGGTTGTGAAGAGCAAGGGGGGGCGAGGGTGGTATGTAGACTCTGCGAGTGGGTGGATCGCGGAGCGGGGCTGTGAGAAGAGCGTGCTGAGGAGGGATCTACCGAGCGACCATCCGTGGAGGATGGAGCTTGAGCGGTTGGCGGATGCGAACGGGAACGTGAGCAGTGGGGTCGGGTGGCATGCTCGTAAGATGGAGGTGGGTATTATGCCAGTGTGTGGGCTGTCCGGGAATGCAGATACTGATCATGGTCCTTTGGCGCTATAGGTGCTACACGGACACGGAATGCTTGGACGTGAAGCTGGACTGTATGGGGCGGTATCCTATGCGTACCAGGGTTAAGCTCAACGCGGGCGAAGTCCGACGCCGATGCTCTGCTTGCATCGCAGCGCACCCGCACCACCGAAACTGTCTTACTAAAAGTAACTCTACGAAGACGCGCACGTTGGACCTTCTTTCAATGTTCGGGAAAGGACAACGACTGTTTCAAGCTCTAGCAGTGCAGCGAATATACTCGAGAACGCACTAATTTATCAGGATTTTGACCATGTACACCAATCTGGAAAGCAGCACATCAGTCATGACATGTCTATCTAATATTGTTTTTGTATGGCTACCACTGTATCTGAGCAATCTCACCGTTTTTCGCAAACCCGGACAATGCACCAGCTTCTGTGGCTGTCCTCCAAACTGTGCGCTATTATCCGTCTGTGCTCTGAGTAAAAAAACAGGTCCGACCGCGATGGGGCAGTCCGCTGACAGTGAGTGAACACCGCCCGGACCCGGTGGTTGTCGGATCATGCCGCCGCTGTCCATGGCACAGCCTTGTGGGCGCTCGATCGAGTGGCGATCCTTCGCAAAGTTCTCGCAAAGTCTGCAGTCACACCACTCGTCCCTCAGGCCAAGGCTTTAAGTACCACATTCAAATGGCTTCTGGTAGACAATCGCAGTCTTCCAGCACAGCTGCACTGGCCGCGGACCCATCCCCAGGTGGGTGCTTATATGATTACACCTGCGAGGTATTGGACAACGTCGTGGCTTTTTCGGCGCGGAGGATGGTCACCCCATCGCCTGACCAACCCCCTCAACACTCAGGAAACACCATCGACGGCACCTCCAATGGCGCTGTAAAAGGCAGTCCTCCCATTGTTCACTGCTTTCGTGCTAGTGCTGCTGTGCGTCTTATCGTCGACATGAAATACGGAACCAGTACACAGGACTAACCTTGGGCTGCCGTGGTCTGCTGCTGCTTCTCGCGGGTTCCGGGATGACTCGTTCATGATCAGCTATTGCTAGTATTGTGCAGACGTGGAATCTTCTAGGACGACTGGGTTGATGATTCAGTTGTTCTCGGCCGGGTTGCCTTTTTTGGTCTATATCTACCTTGTCGAGAAGGGACTAGACAGGTCAGTGGAACCTTCTTTGAATTTGTCTCCCATTGTCTTATACAGTGCATGTATAGCCTGGGCGTCCGTGCTTGTCAGACATATCTGGGGATTGTTGTCACTGGACAATGACCGAAGGCCGGCCGTCGGATATGGAGAAATCACTAATCGCTGGAAATGGCAGTTCTCAATCATTTTCGAAGCTCGAATGTGTTATGCGGATATTGCGGGAACGTCCGCCGGGCACGGTGTTCAGTCAATCAGCGCCTGTCAATCACCCATCTTTGGTAGTCGAACTCATCCAACGTTTGAGCTCCGAACGTAATCAAACCTCGCTTTGGTCGATGCCATATTTACTATCCGGACTTCGGGTGTGCATACTCGCGCATCGCATTGAACACCGATCGTCCGCTCGGGATACCAACTCCAAGGACACAAAAGGAAAACAGCTCGCGGTGGGTGGTAGACATACTATCAACGATGCTCGCGGAGGCAGAGGCACACGTTCCTCTAGTATCTCATGAGCCATGCGGCTGTCGCGCCTCTCCCATGACAACGTGCGATCTCCCCTTCCGCAAACCGACGCAGTTGACATGTTCACTACGACATTTCAAGCATATCTGTCCAATGACGGACTGAACCTAATATGTATGTATTGTCCTCAATGCAGTTGGTGTATGCTCAACAGTCACATTTGAATTTGGCTCGGTCCACCTGACCACGCAAAGTAAGGAGGCTGAAAGCAGAACCATACAGCCACACTGATACATATGCTCTTCCGGTACGTTGGCTTGTGACGGAAATCCAGTCATGTACGCGGAATTTAGGATTCAAGAACCCTCGGTACCGCATGTGAGGACATGGCTGCAGTTGTGGTACGTAACCGGAGGCCCTTGACTCGTAATATGATGATTCTGAACACCCATTTTTCCACCCATGCACTCTGGAAAGGTACCGCCCCAGCGCGATACGCATCGATCATCAGCGACCACAGTCCACTGCATTCATCTGCGCTAGGTGGACGCTCACTACCTGAGCGGTGTTCAGATCCGGGCCGATGTTTCTTCGAATAGGAACCCTGATACCTTCTTCTGTCGTGGTCTGTCTTGCGCCATGGCATTGGCGCACGCGATGGATGTATACGGCTTGCTCCTGATCGATTTTAGCGACACGGGAAATACCTGCTATCACCGAGCGGAGCAGTAGTAGTACCCTTATAGGGACTCGATGCCGCTTTCAGGCTCCTAGGATAGGACCACAAGGACTACACTCAGGTTTCGATCCCATTCACGCACGACTCACGAATTGACAGCTTACGGATCCGGTGTGGACTCAGATACCTCTTGAACGCGTGCGGGGTTTCCGCGACTTGATTTTGACCTCTGTGGCTCTCCTACTTCATCGCCTCGTGTCTCGGTGCCTAGGTGCTCTAGCTGACTCACTGTATGAGGGATCACCCCATAGTTCGGTAGCCGAGATCATAACAGGCAACATAGGTGTGTTCGAACATATCAAACTGCCACACCGCATCATAGATAGTGTACCACTACCACACGCCCAAAATCTTCATGATCCAGGATTACCCCGGCAATACCACACTGGGTGATGTTCGTTCCAGAATTTTGTGAGTCTTCGTTTCTGCCGAAACGTCGGGGCGTTCATCCGAAATGGTCACAGTGCGCGCGAACATTCACCCAGTGCGGTGCACCCCCTCAAGGAGGACTGCCTTTGTCCACTAGTCAAAGACTCGCGGAGCGCCCAACACACGGAATGCCCCCGCAGTTCTTCGAGAAAACGGCCTTTCTCACCACCCATCTCCGCTTGTTCCTCAACTCGTTTTGGTTAGTATTCAAGCGGATATTGCGGACTTCGCACGCACCGACGCCAGCCGATGGCTATGCTCGGCACGCGCTGCGCTGACCGACAGCAGAGGGCACTGGGGCGGTCGAATGCCCCCGGCACCCTCGCACCCCGCGTACATTTCGAGTCTGATCATTGCGTACGCTGGAGCGCGCAATGTCCCAGTATGTGACCGCGCTGACGACGCAGCCGGTAGGCGGCGTGGTCCCACTCTGCCAGAGAGCATAGCCCGTGGCCCGCCCGCTGCCGAGCTGGTGCGGAGCGGCCGCTGACGTGTTCGGTACATTCAAGGACCCTTCGTGTTTCCTAACGCAGTCATAAGCTGAGAACGAGACTGCGCCGGAAAGAGGAGGATATCTGGCAGATTGGCATATGGGTCCGGCCGGAGCGGGGTCGGGCGCGAGGACCGGGCGCAAGGCGAGACGTGCTCGTATACTGGATGGATCAGACTGATGGCCCCTCTGTCAAGCTCGTCGCACAACCACGTTGGGAGCTCAAGCAGCCTGGCTAATGCAGAGAAAAGTCGAGAGAACGCTGTAGGGTTGTACTTGTTCCTAACGTAAGGGGGCAGTGTTTATGTACAGGCTTCGCTCTTGAAGAAGTCATGCCTACAGATCCGCTGCATGTGGATCCGCCGCAACTTTCGTGATACCAATAGTGGCGGGATGGCCTCTGTTCTTGGTAGGATCGTGTTCAGCGAAGCTCGGCTGTGCTCCTAGGATCCTAACGTGTTCTCTGAGGATGCGCAGGCGGATCCGTGAGTGGGTATCGACGACAAGAGTGGGGGGTGACTCGTGCAGGTGTTGGATGGGCATGGGTATGTAACCTGTTTAAGCTGTCTACCCTGTCACACATGATATATGCTCCCCAGGAATGGCAGCTGTGGAGCTGAGCGCAACCTTTGGAAACACGCTTGGCAGGTCCATCCGGCGTCATCTCGTTACGGCTGGTAAGACGCGTCTCCGTCTGAATCCTTGAAGTAGCAGTCCAAACGCGCGTCAGCTCGATGCCTGCCTCTCTGCGCCTTGGTCGCTAGCCTCGCACCACGTCCTGGTGGGTAAGCACTATGGGCTTGAGGCAATGTTGTCGCGCAGACAACTGCTGTCGCCTGCGGCATGCCCGGGCCTGACGCACCCCCGACGCAATGCGCAAGGCCGTACTCTGGCGGCACAGTCTCTGCGCCGCGGAGGTTGCAACGATCCGAGCACCAAACCTCCGCTCTGCAGTACCGCACAGAATGTTGCGGGCCAGTAGTTGTCGTCTGCACTCGTCCGTCCTCAAGTTCAAGTGTAGGGCGCTCCTAGTATGACGCACATCTGTTTGGGAATGATGAGATCCAGATACTGATCTGCGTGGCCCGCGCAGTCGCAAGCGCTTTGGCCTGTCCTGGATAAGTACATATACATATACATATATATATATGTAATGTGGTCCATGGCTTGATCACAAATTCAGAATTCATATCCACGGCACTCAGCGGAGTGGGACCGGCGGTGGCATGTCATTGTCGGAGTTGAATATAAGATACGGTGGTTTTGTCGCCGCCGAGGCTGTGTGTGCTTGAAACCCGAATGTCGGGAACCTTGAGTTTGAGTTTGAATGCCCTCTGCAGCTTCGAGACATTTGAGCTCAGTACAACATAGTATGTTTGGTGTCGGAATCACGAACAAGGCCGACAATTAATAAATGAAATCATCCAGGTCGAGTGCAAGCGCCACAGGCTGCCAAGGACGTGCGGGATGAGCGCTATCCGCGCGGACAGGAGGCTTGGCATGGCCCAAGCTCGGCACAGCCTGCCCCACGATGGGACGCAACTGGTGTTCAGCCGCAGTCTGTTTCTCCCGTTTTTGGTGTGCTGGCTGTGGCATACTTAATACCTGTCCCCGTTCTGTCGTCCTTCTTTTCGATACTCCGCCTTGACTCTGCCAGCTTATCGCAAATACTCGACCTATTGCACCGACGGCCTTCACCGCCACGCACTGTTCCAATTGTCACCGTATTCTGTTTCCTTACAAGAGCGGTATGTTTCCTCTCATGGCTGTGCCCTGAGTCACTAATTGTCCAATGCGTCTGATAAGATCTACCGTTCATTCCTCAGGAATTGCCATACAAGGCCACTGCATCTCTGGCCGTCAGAAATTTGTGCCACGACCCTTGCTTGGCCAGTAGTGGACAGCCTAAATTACACTATAAATGTGTGCGTACCCATCCTCTCCTCCTCCTTGCCATCTCTTCTTCTACGGGGTCTGATAGTACTTGCACGTAGCACCCTCCGACATATATTCCGCAGTAACGCAGCCAGCCGCAATAGGCTCGTCCTCGAATTACCCGCCACAGTCACCGGGAATCACGCGTCGCCCCACGTTCGACTTGCCCAGCTCCTCGCCCACGTCGCAGCACTTTCCTGGGCCACACACGCCTGACCGCAGACCATCGCGTTTGTCCCAGCGCGTGCCGAAACGCGCGTCCACACTGCCCGCCACGGTCCCCTTTTCTCCTAGATCCTTCCAGACGCAGCGTTCTGCGCGCACGGTTTCTGGCGCGTTCGAGACCGTGCGACGTCACATTTCGGAGCTGCCAGAGATGATGAAGCCAGAGAAAGCCCCCAAGCCTGCCCAACCAGGGATCTGGCGTGGCATAAAGACCATCATACTCATGTCATGTACGTGGTGCCACGGTCATTTTGAGTGGCTATATGCGTGTTGCTGATACAAAGTTGGTCTATTTACAGGGCTAAATCTACTGCTCGCGTGTATTCCGGTCTCGGTTCGTGCCTGTCTTCGTCTCGTGGGCTCAGCATGTAATGAACCGAATCTCTTTTCGCAGTGGGCACTGAATTTCGCGTTGCCAAAGACGAACACAAATGACACGCTTATATTCATCTGTACGCATGCCGTCTAGTGTCTCGTAGAGAAGCTGACCGACGGATATCCTAGTCTCCTTCCTTGCGATCATCCCTCTGGCGAAGCTGCTCGCATTTGCAACGGATGAGCTATCATTGCGAGTGGGGCAAACGCTCGCGGGGCTGTTGAATGCCACACTGGTATGTACGTCTCTGGATATCCACTGCAGCCGCTCATAGTCGCTTGGCAGGGAAACGCGTACGTATTACATCTCACCTCCGTGGCGCTATCCACATACTGACGTCGAGGTCCACATACGTCTGCAGTGTGGAATTGATAGTTGCGGTGAGTGGTCTGAGTGGTTCGATATTTATCCAAATTAAGACCCCAATGTGGACAGATCATTGCACTGGCCCACTGCGAGCTCCAGATTGTCCAATCATCATGTACGTCACATTGTTCCTTCGATCAGCCATGGCGTTCTGTCTCGCATACCATTGAGCGCTGGGCTTCATTCCCTTTCGTTTCATTTTCGTATGCGCGGTGCTCATGTGCATGTACCTCATAGTGGTGGGCTCCATACTGAGTAACTTGCGTAAGTGCTCGAATTACTTCCATATATCTTTGACGCTGAATGTGTTCTTGATCCGTTCAAATCAGTCCTTGTCCTCGGAATGTGCTTCTTTGCCGGTGGTGTTAAGTTCTCCGAACAAGGTTTCGGCATGAGTACGTCCCTCGTGATATGTATTCCCGCGCTACTTCTGACACAACCTTATCATTTTGGATTCTACCCCTTCACCATTCCGTGCCTCCGCTCCCTTCAATCCGGCATTGTGACTTGTAGGCGCGACGCAGCTTAATTCCTCTCTCTTGACGGTATCCGTTATTGCGATCCTCCTCCCAGCAGCTTTCCATGAGGTTGCTGGCGCGGAAATCCCAGATCCTCTTGAGGGACGAGAGATTCTCAGTTTCAGCAGAGGTGTGAGTATATGCACTTCCTATCAGCCCCTTATCACTCCGGCCTTCGAAACCCTAGTACACCGTGGCTAACGAACCTTCCGTCTTGTCATCTAGGCCGCGATCATTCTTCTATTCAGTAAGCCGTGCCGCAGTCCGTATCCGTCCCACCTTCTTGGTGCTGACTACAGGACTAGTCTACGGATGCTACCTCGTGTTCCAGCTATTCTCGCACAAGGCTATGTACGAAGATGAGGGTTCTGACGTCTTCAAGTCGACGAAGTATCCGCCGCGCCAACCCGGCTCCCAGCCAATGTTCAGCACGCAGAAGCAGTGGCTTGCGACGCATTTCCAACGAGGCACAAATGGCAGCAACGAACCGCTCTCCCCGTCTGCGAATGCACATGGACATGAGGCGCCATTTGTAGCGCGCGAGCTCCACCAGAGTCCGGTGAGCGAGAGGATCGTTCTCGCGGACATGTCGCCCGACCTCGAGCGGGTTGAGAGCCCCAGGAGCCAGCAATCGTCCAACGAAGATCTTGAGCAGCAGCAAGACGAGGAGGTTGAGGAGTTGAAACTCACGTTGCCGCTGACTATCGGACTCCTTGCCGTAGTCACTGTGGTGAGTCGATGCTTGTCCATTATGCAGCGTCATGACAAGGAGCTAATTCGATCAACAGTTCGTTGCGGTAACTGCAGAATGGCTCGTGAACTCCATCGACGGCTTGACGGCATCCGGCACAATCAGTAGGGAATTTGTTGGCCTCATTTTACTGCCAATCGCCGGCAACGCGGCTGGTGCGTAGTTTTCTGCTACGTATATGTGAAACCGTTTGACGCGTCGCCTGGCTTTAGAGCATGTCACTGCGGTGACGGTATCGGTGAAGGACAAACTGAACCTCAGCATCGGTGTTGCAGTTGGCTCGAGTATAGTGAGTGGCTCCCCGTTTCACGAGATTGCTGGCTCAAGCTGTCGTGCAGCAAATTGCGCTATTCGTCATTCCGTTCTCCGTAATCTTGTCATGGATTATGGGCAAGCCGCTTACCTTACTGTTCGATCCCTTCGAGAGCATTGTCCTCTTCCTATCTGGTAAGCCCTCTTCCCAGATTGATTTGCCCGATGCTTACAACGCATGGCAGTACTCGTCGTGAACTACACTGTAGCTGATGGCAAGAGTAATTGGCTCGAAGGCATGATCCTCATGTGCTTATATGTCATCATTGCAGTGACTTTCTGGTATTACCCTGGTACGCTCGTTTGATTTCCTTATTCGCATGCTGTGGCTGACCCCCTTGATATTCTAAGGCATCAGCATCTCACAGCAGATTGCGAGCCAAGAATTGTCTTGCTGAACGCACTCACGAATTTCCTGTCATTATTATTGAAAGCTCCTCTTCTGGATCTCCCTGTTATCCTGGGTCTTATGGTCTTATGCTCACCTCTCTGCCCATGGTCTTCACTCTCCTTCACACTCTGATTATCGTCACGCCAACTCCACTGGTGCTACTTCGTTCATCTCAAGAGCATTCCGCCCGCCACACTTTATGAATATCTCTCCCAACGCCTATGCTACTTCCTCTGCTTACTTAAGTTCCGCAGCCCCAGCGTCTGTCCCCGCATTCAACTGGCAGATTGGGCTTCCCTGAGGGTGGCAACATACTACACGTCGGCGCGGTGCGCCCGGACGCCCTTTGGCCGATGATTGTGACACTCTCTGGACCAGGACTGTTTTCATGACAACATGGCGACAGTCGTGGTACATGAAGAACCTGGCCATTTCTCGCCAGAGGGTTCTGCTACTCTATCATACCAAGGACAAAGTGGGTAGACACTGGACAAGTCGTTTCATCTATCTAGATATGTTATAAATGTTTGCCATCGCGAATTGTATCCCATCCCACATCTGATTCCCGATCACCCGTTTCCTTACGTCCAAACTTCACTCTAATATCTTTGTTGATGAGATGTTTCGTGGAATGGTTCGCAACGTTGCCCAAGAGTTCGATATATACCCGTTGTATTCATAGGCTAATGATGCTAGTAATGATACCAGCTGCGCAGAATAGAATGGCATTCCCACCTCATGTTTGTGTCGTCAGCTCTGCTGCACGGCGACTGGGTGACTCCTTCAAATCAGTAATGCCAAGAAAATCAGTGCGTGTTGGTACAGCATGCTAGATGTACATCAGAAACAACATATAGAAATACGAAATAGTTAATGGCGGTGCTCTGCAACGGTGCAACCTCGTTCCTGTCGGATGCCGAGACATTACAACTTTGCTTTGGCCGCACCTGAGTCCACCAGCGTTGCTGCGGCAGCCGCGAGGACGACTGCCTCTCGTTCCTTGACTTTTGTGGCTATGTCAAACCCATGATCAGTGCGCACTCCGGCTGCTCTGTACCATAGACGCACTGAAGACCACTTTCTCTCCCTCCTTCCACATCTCGGTGACCAATGTTTCACCAGGGTATACAACACCGGCAAATCTGGAGAAGACCGTCAACACATGACTTATTCGGAGGGCAAGGCACCTATGCTACTTACCGTACTTTAATATCCTTAAAGGGCCCGAACGCCTTCACTACATGCTTTCCAGAAATCCCGAAAGAACAAAGACCTGCGCAATGTCAGAAAAAAAGGGGACTGCAGCGCATTGTGACCAAGAGCGATGCCTCAATTACTCACCGTGCAAAATCGGCTTGTCAAATCCCCCGACTGCTGCAAACTCTGGAAGAATCTACAGAAAAGTGTTGGCTCCCTGAAATCAATAGATACCCGGTGACACGCACATGTAATGGATTATAGTCTCCGCTCAACCTTGGCGTGGAATATCGATGAGCCTCATCCTCGAGACCGAGCGAAGCTCGGACTCACCGGTACAACGCGGCCTGAATTGGGAGGGTCTTTTCCTCGAGGACAACGTCTGGTCGCCGCTGAGGCGGTGTATTGGACGCGGATGCTGCTCCACGGTCTAGAATGTTGTAATAAGGACAAGGGTGTTGACACGCGCCTCATGGGCGTCTACTGACAGAAGACGGACGTGCGCACCTTTGCCTGCACGCTTGCCTCCAAATCCGCCTGCTCCGCGAATGAATACTGTCGACTGGTTCTCGAAGATCACCGTTCCAGTTTCTGAATCTTTTGTCTCTACGACGGTCGTAACTGCGGCAGCTTTGCCTTTGTCCAAGACCTCCATCAGTCTAGAATGGAAGGTAGGCGAGTTAGCATGTCCTGAAACGGCTACAAAAACGCGAAGTAGACGAAGCGGTATGACGCTCACCGTGCCTCGTTCACAAAATTCCCACTAGTGGGGATCGGGCCCTTTACCGACAGATATTGTTCACCATGGAGCAGCTTCGCCTGCGACAAGAAAATTGAGGCTGACATACGATCACGCTGGAGATATATTGTTCCACAGCACATACCGGATTATAGTTTGGTAGCCAGTCCAATGACATACCTCCGCTCGCCATGAATTGTGGAACAACACCGAACGTTGGCAGCGCAGCAAACTCCTCGTGGCCCTCGAATGTCCACTGGAGCTCTTTCTCAGTTGCACCTACGCCGAGGTTGTACAGGATCACGTCGCGTTCTGTGTACGTAAAGTCGAGTGGCTCCTCAACTTTCCTCTTCGCCTCGGCAACGAGCTCAGAATCTTCTGGGTCTGCATAAGGGCTGTCGCCCTCGCTGCTGGCCTCTTCCTCGTTTTCAAAGTTCTCCGCAATCTAATCAGGCAATGTCAAAGTCCGATATGCACGTAAAACCGAATAAATCACCTGCATGAACGCTTCTTGCGTGTTTGCAGGATTGGTTGCCCGATCATCAGCTATCCCCACAAGGCAATATCGGTCAATGTTGACATCAATCTCAGGGCCCACGCACAAAAGTCTGTGATGGCACTCCACTTCGCAATGATGGCTTCCGGGGTCAGTGGTTTGTTCACCGGGAAACCATGTCCACCCGTTCGCTGCCAGCGGAGCTGCGCCACCCAGCCCGCCGCAATCTGGAACACCCCACCTGTCGTCTCCTCGTTTGCTTCGCTCGTAAGAAATCCAACGACAGGAGCAATGTACTCCTCCTATTCCCACAGATGTGGTGACGATCAAGCGCGTCAGCAATCGTGCTTTAGATATCTCCGATTCTTAACGATGTGGTCTTACCTTGATCGCATCGACATTGTGGTGGGCGCTGATCGTTTCGATCGAGAATAGACGCGCGAGAAGGGGTGAGTGGATGGACAAAATGTAAGCTTGAGACAAGGATAGCATCTCACCGGCCCAAGCCCACAAGCGCGCCCGCAGAAGGCACAACAATATTCGCCAAGATGTTGTATTTTTGGCCTTCAATGGCGAGCGTGCGAGTCAGGCTCACAACAGCGGCTTTCGCCGTAGCATACTATGGTTAGTGATTTGAGCCTACCCTTACTGGAAGAAACGGGATCGTGCTCACATTCGCAAGTCCTGGCATACCGTCTGTGAGATAGGACAATTATTTATGCGATAAGATGGACGAAAGGCAAGAAACTGACAGATCCCTGCCTGAGAACCTGTCGTCACAATTCGTCCAAACTTCTGCTTTTGGAATATTGGCCACAAAGCTTGAGCGCACTATAGATAGCGTTACCCTCATGTGATGCGCATATATTCGGAACCGTACTCACCTTGAATGTTGCGCTGCAGTCCCAGCATATTAGCTTTCGAGATCCGATACGGCATGGAAGTGACTGACCGGAGATGCACGGCCATGACCTCGTCCCATTCCTTCTCACTCATCGCCGCAAATCCATTCTGACGCACGACGCCCGCATTCGCCACAAGCGCATGCACGCCTCCAAACGCATCTAGAGCAGTCTTGACAATACTCTCTCCATCTTCTGCGGAGACAACTGCGGCAGCTGCTTTCCCGCCCACTACACGACTCCGTTGACACCGTACTGATATAGAAAGAAATGACGGAGACGCACATTGTTTGATTTCGTCAACCACCGCACTCGCAGCCTTTGCGCTGACATCATTGACGACAACATTTGCACCAAGTCGCGCGTACATGAGCGCATACGCACGTCCGAGACCAGCGCCAGAACCTGTGACAATTACCGTCTGGCCGTCGAAACGGACTTCGGGAGAGGCATGAGTATTTTGCGACAGCTTAGCACCTTGTGCAAGAATGGCCTGTTGCAATTGCTAGTGTCTAGATCCAAAGCGCACTCAGATCAGATAGACATACCTGCGGGTTAAAGTCCGGGAGGTTTTGCGGGCTTCATGCATAATAAATTGGCCCAAATGAACTCGGGATTGTAGCGAGTGATAAAAAAGGGAGATAGACGCACTGCTCAGGGTCACTGAAATCCGTGATTTCATCCCATTTGTCCCCAATCTGCGTTGTTTTGTGAGTACCTACCGACACCACTCTTGGTGGAACTCACAGCGGAGGGGGTGAGTGAAACATCCGTCTTGAATACAACACCTTTGCTGCGTTCCCAGCGGACTTCGGCTACGAAGCCTGCGCCGACCTCAAATATCCTACCTGATGCGTCAGGGCCGTCAGGGTGCGTGACTGCTGCAACAAAGGGCGCAACATATTCTGGCTGAGGTAAGTTCAGTAAGCAATCACGCTGAACACAATGTATGTGTACCTTCAAATTTGCCAGCATCTCTGGCGGCATGATGGTCTCGGTCATTGCAGATGCAGCCATCTGAGATATATATATAATAATTATAGATCTGACCACTACGCAATACGCAACGCAGGCTTACAGGTGCAATGACAATTGCCTTGATGCCATGCCTGGCACCTTCGAGTGCAAGCGTTTTCGTGAAAGCAATAAGACCCATCTTCGCAGCACTGTAGTTGGCCTGTCCAAAGTTGCCTGGCATATCCAGAATATGAAATGAAGAATGTGTATCAGCTAGAGCGACACAAACCGTACAACCCCGCAGCGCTCGCGGTGTTCACAATGCGACCAAAACCTTGGTTGCAGAATATGGGCCACACGGCCTTGCTGCATGAGAAAGACCCTTTGAGGTGGACGAGCTGCACTTGATCCCATTCCTGGTCTGTCATATTCCTGAATCTAATAACCTAGCCTTAAACGTGTGGCGCTCCGAGATGAAAATGTCTGTACGCACCCCTTGTCTCGAAGGATACCGGCATTGTTGATAAGGATGGTCACTCCCCCGAATGCATCGAGCGCTGTCTTTATTACGGAAGCTCCATCTGCAACCGAGGAGGTATTCACAACAGCCTTTCCACCACCTGCGGCGCATTCACGGTCAGCGAGTCTTAGCCTACCAAACTGAATGATCCGAGCACCTTGTGTAATTTCATCCACTACCTTCTGCGCAGCTGCCTGGCTGACATCATTCACGACCACATTCGCGCCCCTTGATGCATAAAAAAGCGAATACCTACAAGTGGCATTGCAGTTAGTAGCGGACCAAATGGGCATCGAGTCGAGGGCATACGCTTTCCCCAAGCCTCCGCCTGCGCCAGTGATGACAACAGTATGGCCAGTGAATGAAAGTGAAGACATATCGACAGTTCAGTTTAGTGGGCGCACTTCAGGTTAGCACCTGGCTTCAGTGACCAGAGTCGTCATACTATGCCGCCGCGGCATGTGATTCTGATGATTACGGCCCGGGATTAAACCAAGATCCACGGCCATTCGGTGCGGCTTACAGCCGGTCTTCCAGCCGATCCATTGTTCTGGATCGGTTTGATTCGTTGTATACGCCTCGCCGTCCAAGTTCTGCTTTCAAGTATCCGAGGACTACATGGCTGACGATAAAGTGAGTCCCGAGCCACAGCCTGCTAGGCCCACATTATCCCGGTCAGCGACGACGTTGACTGCCCGCGACGAGCTGCTGCAAGCCAAGAAGAACACCCTCCTCAAGTCGCACGGAAGGCCGCCATGGTCTGACCATTCAATGGGATCCAAACTCTCATGCAGCCTACTGAGCTGTCCACTCTAGGTATGGCGAAGACGGCTCCCCAATCTCGGACGCATTTGTCGTTGGCATTGCTGGTAAGCTACGCAAATCCCCGTGCTTGTGACTGCATTTTGAGAATTGCCACAGGAGGATCCGCCAGCGGCAAGGTGTGATAGAAGCATTGCCTAAATCGTAAACAAAACTCTGACCCTATCTTCGAAGACACATGTAGCCCGTCGCATCGTACAAGCACTGGGATCTATTCCGACTGTCATTATTTTATCCCAAGTACGTCAGCATCGTCCGCTCGGTAGGCATATCTACACCTCAAATCACTTGCCAGGATAGCTTTTACAAGCGACATACACCTGAGGAAATCGAGCTAGCTAATGCCAGTCGCTTCGATTTTGATCATCCAGGTTTGGTGACCCTGGCCCGTGGACGCCTTATACTGATCAGCTATATGTTAATCAATCCAGATGCCATCGACATGCCACTCTTCGCATCCGTGCGTGTTCTGATTCTTGTCCTACTTAATGGGATACGAGGTGTACTTGAACTTTGAAGGACATGGAATGCAGTGTCTATCCGATTTAAGGGCTTGCCGGCAGACGAACATACCCATATACTCCTTCACGGAACACCAACGTTTACGTGAAACCAAATATCTGTATGGTGCCGCAATCATCATAGGTAACTTCCGTACTGCATTTCTTCTTGTGTCTCATCTGAGTGTTATTTTGGGCAGCGGAAGGTATCATGGCTCTACATGATCCGGCACTAAGAGCGCTATATGACCTCAAGGTACGATATATGGCGGGTCTTCACTTGAGACCACCCTATAATTACGATGCTAGATCTTTGTGCAATGCGACTCAGATCTGATGCTTGCTCGACGGATTCGTCGCGATGTAAAGGAGCGAGGAAGAAGTGTAGATGGTGTGCTCGAACAGTATGTTATTTGTCATCGGATCGCCTATTCACCTCAACACATCACTAGGTATCTGCGATATGTGAAGCCATCATATGACAACTTCGTCCAGCCGACGTCCCGCTATGCCAACATTGTGGGAGCATCTTGCATCTTCTGGAGGCTGTGCTTACGAATGGCGCTAGATTGTTCCAGGATACGACAATGCAGTTGCTACTGACATCATCGCTACCCACATTCGCAGACAGCTAGACGGTCGTGCTACTCAACTCCGTCAACGTCTCGCTGGAGCTGGGCCCCGCGACTTGATTCCGCAAGATTGCACGCCAGACCCTGCTAAAGAATACCTCAATCTTACCATACTATCGCATACGCCCCAGCTGCAGGTATCGATCATCCTCTATGTCTACTAAGCGATGTTCATCTCATCTTACATTAGGGGATATTAACCATCTTAAGAGATCGCACTACTAACCGAGGAGACTTCATATTCTTTGTTGACCGGCTAGCCACCTTACTGGCTGAGAAAGCCATGGAACACCTACCGTTCCGTCCCAAGACTGTAATGACTCCCCTTGAGGTAGAATCGCACGGAAACGAATTAGATACGGACGTGCGTTTATTTCTGAATCATGGTTCCGACTCCAACAACTTAATTCTACCATCACAGTATATCTGTGGTGTGTCCATTTTACGTTCGTATGTGTCTGATTCATAATTTATCTCGACCGCTGCTCACTCGTTCCTTGCAGAGGAGGCCCTTTGGAGCGCGGTCTGCGGAGAGTCGTCAGTGCCATTCCGATTGGGTCCATGTTGATCCAGTCGGAAGCTGCCACTGGCGAGCCTCTACTCTTTCACCTACAACTTCCCATTTACATCCGGCATCGACATCTCGCAGAGAAGAGCTGGGTATTCGTGCTGGACGCACAAGTACGATGTCCTTCCATCTACTGGCAGCAGCACCCCTGACACAGTCTGTAGATCGGAACAGGTGCTGCGGCGTTCATGGCTATCCGTGTTCTCCTCGATCATGGCGTTCCCCAAGATCACATCATATTCGTCGTGTTCCTGGTCGCGCGATGCGGTGGAATCTCCATGTTGCAACGTGCATTCCCCCAGGTGAAGTTCGTGTGCGGAGCCGTGGATGACGGATTACAAGAAATGTGGTTGGAAGGCGTCGAGGAGGGCGACGGTCAGATGGAGGCGGAAGGTCGCAAGGCCTGGGTGGTTGAACCCGGAATGGGTCACATAGGTGTGCATACGTTCATAAAGAGATCTCAGCCAAGTTCTGAACACATTTCCTACTCAGGCGATCGCTACTATCTTTAGTATTCATTTGCATCTCAATAATCATACCACTATCTTCACCTGATGACATGAAATCCGTTCAGCAGGTCAGCCCCAGTGAGAATTGACATGAATCAAAACGAGAAACTGTGTCATTCAATGAGAAAAACTGAGATAAATCGAATTGGCGCGAATTACATAATTCAGCTTTCTTCACGCGTTTTCAACGCAATTCATTGAGTGACCCAGTTTCTCGATTTAATTCATGTCATTTTCCACTGGGGGTCAGCTTGGTTGCTGCAGGCTAGTTTCGTTGTCACCATGCTTCACACGACGAGATGAGTAGGATGCATTGATGGGGGTATGTAGTGAACGAGGAAACACTGAACCCACAAACGAGTGAATGATAAATGAGAACTAAGATGCATATGCAATATTGACTACTAAGAAAAAGATCGCGGGTAACATAAAATTCGTAAGATTCGTTAGTTTGACTGCCCAGCAGACGCCACGGCTTTACATAATGATGCACCATTTAGATCTCTTTTTCTCGTCGATGACGCCGTCGATTGGCGTATTTGTTGGCACTTCGAGGGCAGGGGATTCTGTTGCGCTAGTTGGACTCTTGGAGAACTCTCCAGAGGCATATTCGTGCGACGTTCGACCTTCAGGTAGTTTATGAGTACTTGAAAACCAGCCTCCAGGGAAGAAACGCGACGACGTGGTAGACTCTAGTCGAGCGCGTCCATTTGTCGGAGATGTGGTGCCAGTTTGAGTCTCAGAATCACCGCTGATATCGACTGGAGCATTCTCATCCAGGGGGGCCAAACGGAGCAAGCTTGGCCTGTATCACAGAGTTAACACTACCATATAGACACTACAAAAAATTTACTCACTTGGTAACAACCTTCTGACTCGACACATCGTTGTTTTCGATAGTCGGGAACGCTTGAGGCTGACCATTGCCGTTAGAGACACCAGTTGGCTCCGAACTATCACCATTTGCTGCTTCAGTAGAAGTACCTGGACCTTGGACAGTTACAGAATATGAAGGCGTCCATGGGCGTTCATGACATTCTTCTGTGACAGTCATGTTATCTGTCTGCGCTATTTCTTCTTCGGGAACTGCTTCAGGCGCTATCTCTTCGATCACGTCGACTGGTGGCGGCTGTTCTGTTACTTCAACAGGAGCGGGTAGCGTGTCTAGCTGATTGACCTCCTCATCTTCGAGAACAACAGGGCCACTGAACGGACTCTTCCCTTGGTTCGTGACTGAATATGAAGGTGTCCAAGGTCTTTCCGGCACCTCTGGGGCTGACGCGTCCAAGGAAGACTGAGAAAAGAATGTTATCATCATACTTAACACTTTCACAATAAGAAGCTACCTGTGTATCTTCGGCGACGATTTCTTCCGCTTCACTTGTAAGAACAATTTCAGGTTGAGCAGTCTCCTCCGCAACTTCGTTGTCGACTTTGACATTAGAGTCAATATCGGTCGACGCGGAGACAGGCGCTTCCACAATTGAGTCGATAGGCTCTGCGACACTGGCACCTGCCAGCGAAACATCTTTTAATTCCTCAATATCAGCATCCTCTGTGGGATGCGGGCCTTGCAATGGACTAGCGCCTTGTGAATTGACAGAGTACGAGGGGATCCAAGAGGATTTTGAGCTATCCGCAGTATCAGACTCGGTAGTGGGAGCATGGACTTCTCCCTCTTCTGCTTGGGGTAGAGCGTCTTGATCTTCAATGACAATAATGGCCACCGTCTCAGTAGTAGAGGCAATAGCGTCAACCTCCAGCTCAGGTTCCTGGATTTCAGCGACCGTCTCGTCAGTCACGTTGATTGTCTCAGAACTGGCCTCGGGTGCGCCTATAGGCTCAACAACATCCAACTGAGCATCATTGACAGCAATTGTCTTCGGCGAAGGCAGGGGACTAGCACCCTGCGAACTCACGGAGTACGAACGAACCCAGGATTGAGGCTTAGATGCATCTATGCTGTCGACAGCTATCTGCGTGGAGTCGCTCTCGGTGGCCTAAAAAGTCAGACGCCATTGTGGGTACCTGGAACTCGATCACGATACAAGATACAAGACATACCTGAGGTGGAGCTGCATCAGAAGCTGCCATGGGTTCCTCTTCGGGAGCATCAACAATCTCGGTACTGATGATAGGTATTTCAATAGGTTCTTCGACGGGAGCCTCTATCACCTCTATCGCCGACTCTGCAGAAATGGCCTCAGCAGGGGGAGGAAGCTGGTCTAGTTCTGCGATCTCATCCTGATCCTCCGCCGTAACTTCGTCCGTTCCAGGACCTTGCACAGTGACACTATATGAAGGAGTCCAAGGAGACTTGGGGCGCTCAATCTCAGCTTCACCACTTGGACTAGATACTTCTGAAATATCAAGCTCCGCTGACGATTCCTCGATACCAGTCTCGGACTCATCGACATCTACGACAATGACCGGAGTTTCGATAGATACGTCGGCTGCTTGTACGTCGTCAACGGTTATGGGTTCTTCTTGCTCGTCCAATGAAGCAGGAGATTCTTCTTCTATAGTCTCGGCTATCGCTGCGGGGACTTCGGACGCCACGTCTGCGACCGTTGGTTCAACAATAGATTCAACATCCACTACGTCGACGGTCTCTTGTACCACGGACGACGCAGCTTCTTCAGCGGGCACAATAGTTTCTTCAATATCTTCTTCAACAGTGGTTCCATCGGCAATTTCCTCTTCTGTCACGATTGCGGCGCTAGGTGAATCAGCTACGAACGTGCTCGCGTGTACAGAGGGCTAAATGATACGTCAAATCAGCAGCTAATCGCACAGATGAGTTCCAGTTACGTACTTCAGGCAGCTGCTCTAGATCCGCTATTTCGTTGTCTTCCGCTTCAGCGTTCACACCAGGACCCTGCCTCGTGACGCTGTAGGAGGGAGTCCAAGGCGATTTCGGTCGCTCTACTTCAGTCTCACCAGCCGGGAGTACATTTTCTGATACATTCACTTCCTCTGACAGTTCTACTGCATCATCTTCGGATTGGCTCGCCTCGACAACAATTACCGGGGTTTCGCCGGCCACTTGGATAGGCTTGACTACCTCAGCATCAAGGTCCACAGATACTTCGTCTGTCGTCGAGGGCTCTGCAACGACTAGAGGCGCAGATACTTCCTCTACATCTTCACTGATTAGAGTGACAGAGGCTTCTGAAAGGGCTGGAACTTCGTGCTCCTAGAGGTAGATCAAATTTAAAACCCTTCTCACGCTGCAGCACCAGAAAAAAATGGACACCTACGATAGTCTCTGTGTCTGCAGGAACTGGCGCCTCAACTTCCTCCGCGGGGGAGCTCTCGCTCTGCACAGCCACGACCTCCTCAATGACCGCAGGTTCCTCGGCAGCCAGATCCGTCTCTTCTTCGGCTATTGCAATTTCCTCAACAATGTTTTCGGCACTGATGACCTCTGGTTCGACCACATGGTCAGCGGTGACGGCGTCTTCCACGTGTTGCTCCTCGTGTATTAAAACCTAGATGACACACATTTTAGTAACGACTCATAAAGTGGATCATCAGTACGTACCTCTGCAGGTGTCTCCTCGACAGCCGCCTCTTCAGCTTCAGCGGCTGCAGTTGTGTTCATCGACTCGTCAACCACCTCATGGAGCTCCGCGGTGGTATCCTCCTCATCCTCGGAAGCCTCCGCGGCAACGATTGCGATCTCTTCTGCAGGGACAGGAATCTGCTCAGATTCAGCCGGCTCGGATACTTCTACGGTGTCAACTACCACAGTTGATGTCTCAGCATCGGCTTCACCAGAACTTTCAACGAATTCTGCAATTGTATCTTGAGGAATAATCTCCGCAGCATCTTCGACCACGCCTAATGGTGGCTCCGTGGCGTCACTCTCAACCTGGCAAGAAATTTCTGATTCAGGTACCACCTCGACGTCGCCAACCTCAGCTTCTGCTGCAGCAGTGGACAATTCTTGAGGTGGCTGAACAACTTCGGCTTCAGACATTGCAGCTGCCGAGATGTCTGTCTGGATTCAACTTAGCAGCGACCGACTACAAAAACATACAGGAACTCACAGTGGGCTCAGATTCAACCTCAGCCGAGACAGGCTCCTCGACAGCAGCTTCCGAGTCAGCCGGAACCTCCACCGATATCGAATCTTCTACAACAACTTCAGGCTCACTCGGCGTAGGCTCTGATACAGAGGTCAACTCGTCCAAAACGTCGGCAGATTCAGATGAAACTGCAATCTCCTCCAAGGGAACTTCCGACTCCACAGTCTCCTCACCAGTCGCAGGACTCTCTGCGATGAAAACTTCTTCAGGTGCTACGGCATTTTCAGTTGACGGGATATCCACAGCAATGGAGGAAACATCCACGGTTTCGACATCGTCACCTGGAATATCTGCGGGAACCTCTTCGCTTTCGACGATCACATCGACGGGTCCAGATTCTTCGACAATAACTTCAGCTGGAACAGAATCTTCGACAATAACTTCGACTGGAGCAGAATCTTCGACAAGAACGACTTCCGTCGGCACTGGCTCAGCAGTGACGTCCGCTTCTTCCTCGATAGCAGCAATGTCCGCCTCAGTAGGCTGTTCCTCCTCGTCTTCACTAACTGTTCCCGTGGGGATATCCGATACAACTTCCTCAACAATCACAGCTACCGTTTCCGGTGTCTGCGCATCGTCCTCGATGGGGTCGTCTTCCAGAGCGAGCGGGGCTTCAGCGATTACTTCCTCTGCATGGATTTCTGATTCTTCTGCTGCGAATTCTTCAACGACAATGGGTGCAGCGCTCCCAGCGTCCTCTTCCAAACCCTCCGATTCGGCCTCTGGCTCTATTGTGCCAACGGCCACAACTTGTGGTTCAACCCCCGCCTCTTCGATAACCACAGCTTCAACTGTGATGGTCTCGGTAGGTTCTGGGGACTCCACCGCTCTGGGCTCAACTGATTCCACATGGGTAGGCGCATCGGGAGCAGACTCAGCCGCTTCTAAACCGAGAGGTTCGTCGGCGGATGTAACCTCCAACTGCGAAGACTCCTCCTTCATGGAAATCACAGTCAGTGTCGCACAAAACGCGTCCGATAAGTGGCATACGACTCACAACCAGTGGCGTTTCCTCAGCGACTGCGGATGGCTCGTCGACCTCAGACGCGTCCGTCGCGCTCGCATCAACCTCGACCACTTCCTCGATGACCACAGGGTCCGCAGCAGCATGCGTAGTAGCATCTTGCGCCTCTGCCTAAGCAAAAAAACGATTTGACGGTTCCGATCATCCCGCCAGCTCACAACAGTACCAGCTGATAAACGTACCTGCGGCGTGTCCTCCTGTTCTACAATTTCTTCCTCGACTACCGCTTGAGGCTCCTCATGTGATGCATCAGCCTCGCCAGCTGATACGGATTCTTCGTTGACGGGCTCTTGCGCCTCATCTTCTGCGTGCGCATCGCCATTCAAGATGATCGCTTCCTCTAGCGGAACATCAGCGATGCCCTTGTCGAGCGCGGCGATGTCGTCTGGTATCGCTAAGTCTTTGGTCATGTGGACCGCGTTAGTGGTATCTTGCAGGACGGTGACGTCCTGTCCTTGGTCTTCCAGCGCGACAGACATAGTGCCACTGATTGAAATAAAAGGCGGTCGCGCGTTATCGAAGTATGTCCCTGCTGGGACAAAAAGTCTTGACCTTGCTGCCGAGAAGGTGGTAGTCAGTGTCGTCCAGGTGAGCTGTCGGAGCCCGGTTTCGATGAAAGAGAAGGACGACGGCAGCGCTAGCGTGGCCAAATTAGAGCGTGTCGGCTCCCATGGCGGAATCTTTGATACGCGACGAGTCATGTGATCGCAACGCGGCGCGCCTTAAAATTTCAACACGGAAATCATGCTTCAAAGTCATTCAACGCTCAGACTCGCTCTACGGTACTTCGACTGATGATTGAACAGACAGTAGAATTTCCAAGTGCTGTGCGCATCGCGCGGACCTCATTACAGGGATACGGTAAGACATATCTGCTAACTGGATTGCGATACTCGGTAAACCAAAGGAGAAACAGCCTAGAACAGGGCGGCGCCGATAAGACCCATGACAGCAGCAACACCAAAGGCGCCAGCGGTGGAAGTACGGCTAGCACCGCTGCTAGCCGCGCCAGACCCACTGTTGGAACCAGTCGTAGGGGCCGATCCAGTGCTGCTGGTGCTGCTCGAGTGGGAAGAACCAGAAGAAGTGGTCGTGGTGGGACTTGCAGGCGAACTAGTTGTCGGGGCAGAAGAACTGCGGCGCTATCAATATATAGAAATGCGGAGAACAATAACAAAGCGTACGTGGTAGCATCACTGTTGGTGCTGGAACCCTCAGACGTGGTTTCAGAGCTGCTGGTGGACGGCGCAGCAGCAGCAACAACACAGCTGTCAAGAAGCTATTAGAGGTAGTTTATAAGCGCTGAAAAAGGGCACCCACCTAGAGTTGGTGCCCGACTGGACAGTCTGTTCGTCAGAGAACGCGATCGCACCAGTGCTATCCTTGAGCACAGTCGTGCTGAAAGAAAAATGAGCCAGTACTCTCATCAAGCCGACATTAGCACACTTACAACTGAGTACCGTTGGCAGCATCAACATCCCAGGTGTAGCTCGTACCCTGCTGTTCCCCAAAGTTCCTGAGCTGTTAACAACGAGGTCAATTATCTGTCTACAATTTCCACTCAGGCTGACTCTTGGAACTTACTGGCGTAGAGCTCGTCGACTTCCCGGGAACAAGGGAGAGGTAGTACGGGGCCTCTCCACCCGACCAAGTGAACAAAACCGGTTCTGCCACGGACGTCACACGAGTTCAACGTCGAATAGCAAAAAGAAAATACTTACGACACTCTGTAACGCCCGTAGTACTGCGAATAGTCAGTCATGATACAGCACTCGTAAAGGTGAAACGATGCACTTACATGGTGTTGACGGTGAGGGCGCCGACCATAGCAGGGACCACGGCCATGAGGGCAGCGAAAGAACCGAGGAACTTCATTTCTGTAAAAGAGTGTGCTTGGTGCAAAGAGCGGAAGGGTTTGTTTGTTGGTACGGGACGGTAGTCTTCGAGACTGTGAAAGAGAACCGCGATGTGGGGGAAAAGTCCAACTAGGGTTTCTTATGTACCATATGGTCAGCCACCGCGTGTAGCCGGGCGGCAGCCCAACCAAATACGTATCACTGTCATCCATTTATGGGAAGCGTTAAGGAACAGTTCCGGGATTGGCTGTCGGAGCCTGGCCCGGTTGCCATTATGTCTTGTTTCGCATTACTTTACAACAGGCGTCCATTTGCTGGAACACATGCCTGTGAGAATCTGAGATAAGTCCAGACACACGCCGGGACAACCGCATGGGACGTAAGCAGCAAGAACCGCGAGCGAGCACAAAATTTTATAGTTTGAGAACCCTGGTGAGAACCTAATCACAGCCCAATCCAACTACTTCTCCCACGAGGATTGTGCAATGTCGTCTGTCCAATTTTTATCAATCCGACGTTCCCTTTGTCCGAGACGTCCTCCATCTTTCCATCATCAGATGCATCGTCAACAGCGTCCGCGATGGGACTTGGTGATAGACGTAGCATGGACTGGGTAGATTGCCTGGAGCTTCTGTGGTCCGCGATGCTCGCATGGGGATCCACAGAGCTCGCACCTGGCACGGGCAGGAACGCCTCAGCATACCACTCGTACCAAACCTGCCGTTGGTTTGTGAGACGCCATATGTATACGTGCAACTCTGAATTCCCCGGGAGATACAGCGGTTCCTGCCAGGGTGCAGAATAAGCATCCGACTTGTGGCGGCGCAACTTCGCGACGCACGCACCTTGAACGGGAAGAAGAGCGGAAACCAACTCAGCATGTCCTTAGATATGTACTGCATGCGATCGGGATGGATGCTCAGCCCGATATTCCTGTAGAGCACAGCCTCAAAGTACCCCGCCAAACCATGAAGGCTGCCAGCATGAGGGATGTTGAAGATCATTTTGGCCGACCGTGCATTATGACTGTTCGTCGGTGGCAATCCTGAACGCTCCAATGTCAGCACACGACTAGATGATGAAGAAATCTTTCTCCTTACCTTGCTCGTCGAGCACGGCTTCCCGTCGAGGATGCTCAAACTCCCAGCATTCTTGAACTTTAGGCCCACAATTCCCGCTCAACCCCCCTCCATCATCGCTTAAGATGTTGATAGCCCTAAACATCACAACGTGAGGGGTTTCGCATATCTTCAGGTCCTTCATCGCTCGTGTTTCGTTTAACAGCCTCGAAGACGATAATGGCGCGATGTGTGCCGTGTACGACGACGGAATTGATATTCCCTCCGCTGCAAACGCATAAGTTAGAGTGTTTCCGATTTTAGAAGCCATGTAATTGAAGGCTTACGTTTCAAGAAGCGCATAGCACCGTCCAGACACTCCGGGCTCAATTCATTATCGCCGAACGAGCCCAAAAGCTCGCTGACCAGGATATCCACCTTCTCTGGCACTTGCGACGTGCGCATGTCCCCAAACACAAGCTGCACCTTGTCGCCCCACTCAGATTGCTGACGTTGCTGCAGCCTTCACTCCAAAGCTCTGAGCAAACTCCGGCGACAGTCTGGCCCCACTCACGTTACGTATGCATTCGGGTTTTTCTCGAGAACGTAGACCACGCCATTCCGATTAGAGCGTGCCAAGGCGCTTAGACACCTAGCAACAAGAGGTCCTCGACCTGCCCCAGCGACGCAGAGCACGCTAAAGAGAATCAGACAACGAACAAAGGCGATCGAACGAAGACAAATTACTCACAGCCTCTCTTCCTGCGGTCGGTCTAGCAATGACAGATATACAGCCTGCGACAACGGTCAGCGCCTCAACCGTGCCACGCAACATGAACTAACCTCCTCGTACTGTCTATACTTGACCGGGTCCTGCTCGAAGGTTTGATAGGTCACGCTTGGCAAATTGTCCATAAGCGGCTGAAACGCCCCGTCAGTCTACGCGCTCTGCTTAGAACGACTGATACACTCACCTGCAGCGGCGCCTGCAAAAAATCATGATATCCCTGCGCAAAGTTGTCCACGGTGCCGGGTGTCTGGGTTGCCTGCATGACAGGACTAGTCTTTTCCAGATATCGCACGTACTGCGAGTAGACCGCTTCTCCGCCCGTCTTGTGCCTCCCAGACGCAGTCCCAGACAGTATCACGTTGGGCTGCAGCTGCATATCATATTGCACACAACAAGTGATTAGCGCCGGGTGTCAAAGACCAAGTAGAGCAGACGTTGAGACCTTCATGATATCTCGGATAAAAGATTGTGTCACTTTTGGAAGGACAGGGTAGCCCTTCGCGTTCGGTATGAATGTCGAGGATGGCAGGAAGACGTGCCGCACAGGCTCCGCCGACCACTGGCCCAAGACGCTCATCACAGACGGCATGGGGGGCGTCAGGTCGAGCGCTGAGAAAGCCCGGATCAGTTCGACCGCCCAGGTGCCTGGCAGACAAAAACCAAGGAACATACTCAGCGATAGACGCGGGTTGTAGTCGCACACCGTCCGGATCGCGTCCCACATCTCCCACGTCGCGACGGAGGGCTCGTCCGAGAAGAGCACCGTGGACGAGGACACGGACGCGGTGGGCTTCGGCGTCGCGGGCGAGAGGTGCAGCATGGCGGGGTCGTAGATGGGGATGCGGATCGAGAGCTCGGTGTACGGCACGGCGTTGAGGCATGCGTTCACCGCCCGCGCGTACGCGGCGATCTGCGAACGGTTCCGCGGAGGAGGGAGGATCGCACAGGGGATGTTGAGGTAGGAGGCGTAGGCGAGCTCCTGCAGCAGTGCCTGTAAGGTGTGCGTCCGTTTAGACGTCAGAGGACGGAGAAATAAGCGCAGGTAGGACTTAGGAGACGGGGTGTTCCCGGGCCCAGGAGTCGTCCCGGGAAAAGCAGCACGTTAGAGGGTGGCGACAGGACGTACAGTCTCGGAATCGTGGCGGACCCAGTCGTCCATTGCATCCAGCTCCAGCCAATCTGACACCATGACCAGCACTCCCTCGGCTTCGTCTGCCAATCCACACGTACAGTGAGCATACGGAGCTCACGAGCACGCACGAAGACTTACCCAGCCTTGTAATCGTCACCTCATCGCAGAGAAAACCCGGCCGCGACCTCCAGGCCTCCGCGCGCCGCTCCAGCGACTCTTTGTCCTGGATGTCGCCCGCTGGAAGCAGACACATCTCCCTCCATCGCGTCTTCCATTTCTCGGTCGTAAGCGGGCAGCAGATCGCTTCGTAGTCCTTGGCTTGTGCCTTCGCTTGCGAGATAGGAGACTCTTCAGTGGCAGCGGAGTCGGCAGATTCGTTCGGGAGGTCGCTCAAGGAGATGTGTTTTGTAAACCTCGGCATGAGTCCAGTTAGTAATGTACTTATGATACCAGTGGTATGTCAGTGGCGTTTGAATCCAAGAAGCTATATACGATGGCTAAGATCAGGGAGAAAGAGCGATGATGGACGAGGACGATGCGGGAGAGTACAAGGATGCCGCTGCGGGTGCTGCTCGCATCATGAGGGGAAGCTGCACGGAGCGATCACAACAAAGCAGACTCGCAACAGGATATCGACATCCGGCGCCTGTCGGGGCTCACAATGCGGCTGATCGCTCGAAAGAGCATTCAACTTTCATCGCATCGATGACGATGCGGAAAACAGGCAGATCCATAGGTGACTCAGAGTAGGCATGAGCGCAGGGCCAATCAGACCGAGCGCGCCCATGTCGCTAGAATACACGCCCAACCATCCGATATCATTCGAGATCACCCCGGTCCATCGCCCCTGCGCGGTCGTTTTACACCATTGGGGCCTACCCCATTGTCTCTGTCCTCCCTATCCTCTTCGTTTCCGACACTCATGTCGTACCCCGTCGCTACGCCCTCAAGCACCGTCCTTCCAACTGCCTGTCTCAGCTCATCATCTGGATCTCGGCCCTCTGCGCCAGCGCGCTGCATAATATCCTGCACGGACTGTATCAGGGACGACGTCAGTGTCTCTGACGCGGCGTCCTGTGCATGCTGGGACGGCTGGTGGCGCGCAGGGGACGCGGTGGAGGATAAAGGTGTGGAGTCGCCCCCGCTAGCAGCGGGGACGATGCCGTCCAGATAGGCTGCTACTTCCTCGAAGTCTTCAGAAAGGTATTGTGCGGGCTTGGATCGCAGATCAGCGGCTCGTACGAGGGTATATGCGAGGACGATGACGTACCGTGATGCCTTCGGAGTTTCGGCGATTGACGATGGCACCATGTTCGACCAGATACTGTGCGGTCTCGACGTTCTCGACGACGTACAAGGGAGTGTCTCCGTCGCCGTCTGTCACGTTTACGTCTCCTCCTGTACAACATTCTTTGGTAGTTGAGCCGGCCTCAGGGTAGTGGAAAATGACCTTTGGAAATCAAGTACTCCAGGACATGGACCTGGCCGTAGGATGCAGCAGCGTGCCTGAGCACAAAATCGAATTAGCGCGAGATGAAAGTACACTCGAGCACGCACATCGGAGTGTATGTGTGGGCATCAGGCACGTTGGGGGAGATGGCTATGCGAGATCGCAGGTGAGTCGTTTCTCGCCCAGGAAGAAGAGGGACGACATACAACATGTTTCAATGAGTTCCTTTTTTTCAAAGTGGGGAAATTATGAGCACGGTGCTTGGACAAGTTTCGCGGACACTTACTCTGACACGCCCCAGGTCACCGTCCCCCGCAGCGACCCATATGTTTTTCTCGTGTTGTACATGTGTGGGGACGGGCATGGTGGGGAAAGGTCGGGGTGCTTGGTCAGTGCCGCCTGAGGCTTAGGTCCGGAGCTCGATCGCACCGCGGATTGCAATTTGTGCGAGAAAGTGAGTCGGTCCCGTGACGAGATGATGTGCCGGGCCAACAAGCTCGCGGAGCCGATCGGGCCGGCCGATCGTGTCGCCGAGGCATTCAAGTTGATTTCAAGAGCACTGCTTGTCGAGTTAGTTACTGGGGTAAACCGGATGGCGAACGACTGGCGTTTACAGACCTATATGTAGGCTTGTTGGTTCAGGATCCTGTGTCGAGTTTCCAGAGGAGGTAACTTTGGGGCAAGGGGGCCACAGGCGATATTCAACATCAATAGAGATTGATGATGTGGGGGTCACAGAATATTGGAGACATGGCAACAGGGCGAAACATGGTCTTCAGAGAGTAGCGTCGGGCGTTGGATAGTCCCTAGTGTCGGAGCGATAGATGCAGGCCTGCGCCCTGTTTTGAGAGAGCTGTGGTCTGGTATAAGTTGTCGATCGTTGGACAGATTGGCTGAGATGGCTGCTCGGCTGGACAGCGGCATATGAGCCTGAGCACTGTTCTCGGGAAGGTGCGATCATAGGAAACGGTGAATATCAATTCCGTGTGCAACATGATGGGGGACAGTCTGGGGGGAGGAGGCAGAACGAGTGGAACACGGAGGGAAAGAGTCGGCAGGGGTGTGGAACCGATGGGTGAGTCATGGGGGAGCTGAGGATGAGTGCGAGTGTCGGGGGACGGGGAGGACGAGGGAGGGTGATCGCGAGAAGCGGATCTTGTGATCGGAGGTGATCTTCGCGTCTGTTTGGGAGCTAAACCTGTTTGCGGACGAGGCGGACGACGAGCAGAGCCGGTGTCCCCCTCCATCCGATCGAGCGCAGCCAGGGCTCGCCCCGTCCGCAGGCCCGTGTCGGAGATACTGCTCGGGCGACGTGGGCGGACAGTGGACACGCTGCGAAGCCCGGGAAGGGGCGGAGGCGCCACCGTGTAAATAAACAAGCTCAAAAAGTCAGGAGGCCGCCCGGGTGCCAGCTGGCGGCGGACGAGTGGGCAGCCGTGTGCGAGTACGGCGAGGGGGCAAGGGCGAGAGAGGCTGGGAGGCTGAGGCGACTGGGGACTGGGGAGACTCGACTCGACTCGACCGGAAAATAGACTTTTGGAGTCGATCGATGCCGGACTGAGTTTGGTGCGGTCCGATGACCTGCGCTGCCCGGCGTGTTTGGTGTTGACTTGCCTCGCTCTCTCTCGCCACAGCGGCCGCTGCCCCTGTGTCCTCCTCCCTCCTCTCTCCGTCTTTGCCCTCGCTCTCGCCCTCGCCCTCGCCCTCGCCCGTCCTCCTTCCCTCTTCGTCTCGCCCGCTCTCCCCCCTCTCCTTTCCCTCCCACCACCACCTCCCTCCTCAGGGCCCCTCTTCCCTCCCTACCTTATTCTCGCTCCTAAGCCTTCCCGCCCTCCCCGTTACTCTACCTCTTCCTAGTCCTACCCTATTCTCCTTCCCCTCCATGAGCTTCGTCGCCTCTCCCCAGCGCGGCTACGACTCTCTCGCCCACTCCGGCCTCCCTCCTCTGCCGTCCATGCACCCTCCCGGCTCCAGAATCCCCATCCATCCCCTCTCCTCCTTCGACAATGTCCCTGCCCCGTCTCTCCCTCCTCTCTCCTCTGGTCCTCTCGCCCCCGCCTCCTCCCATATCCTCCACTCCTCCGATCGCGGCCCCCCCTCTCTCCCAAGGCTCGGCCAGACGCGCTGCTGTGAGTTGCTTTCCGCTCGCCCCCACGATCGTTCATCGATCGTCCCTGACTTTGTTCCGTCCTCTACCCCGCACAACACTCACTCTCTTCCTCCAGACTGGTCTCTTCTCACCCCAGACCTCCACTTTCTTTACCTCGATCCCGTTCTCGCCAATCACCTCGAGGACCAGGCTGACCTCCTGATCGGCAAGTCCCTCCTTGCTTTTGTTCATCCTGAAGAGCAAGCCTCCGCGAAATTGGACCTCGGCAGTGTGCTCGAGAGCAGGACCTTACATGGCAGTGTCACTCGGTGCGTCCCTCATACACTCCCCACGACACGCGTCCTCGTCGTGCAATCATGTCTGCTCCATTGCAGACCTCGTTGACGTAATCTCCCTCCAGTGTGCGGTACTCCCGGCTGTCGCGTGTCCGCAGGCAGCTCGGATGTCAAGGTCCGACCTCAGACTGGTCTGACGCCGACAAGGTTTCCGTAGACGCCAACTACATGGCTGTCGACATTGTCATCAACTGGGCTTCTGACGGCCTGGTGCTGTGTTTCATGCATGCAGTCGTCGACCTTACGCCGCGTGATAACGACGAGCACAACAAAACCGGCTGGACCAATTGGTGTGGCACACCATACATGAGCATGGATCAGGTCCAGCTACTATATCAGCGGCTCCTGTCTGCCGTGCCTCAGCCCTTGTCCATGTCCCGGGTGTTCCAGATATTGCTCAACCAGCCGGACCGCTCGCTGTTGATGAGCTGGCCTCCAGAGCAACATGAGCCTGGAAGCCCGACAGCGAGGGACTTTGCGAAGCTTGCTCAGGACGTTCAAATAACCAGCGCGAGTTCTGGTGGTACAGATGCAAAGACCAGCTGCACTCGCCGATACAAAGCTCACCAGAACATGAACTTCGGCGTCGACAGCACGAAAGAGGTTGAGAGTATCTTCATTCCCCATGGTTGGTCTTCCTCGTTTGCTTCCTATATGCTATCTGAACATGGCTCCAGGCTCCATTATATTTGCGTGTCACAAGGTAAATCCCAGCACTCGGCAGCTAAACCCCAACGACGCGACGCAGGCCAACGGCTCCGGCCATTATTCGTCTCAAACAAGTCACCAGTACTATGATCAGCACTCGCACTCGTACAGCCTGCCCCCAGTTCCAGCACCGTCCTCCTATCATAGTGGATTTCCTTCTCACAATTCTTCTCATTATTCCGGCAGCTGGTCACAGAACCCAGAATCTCCAGATTCGCCTGGTCGCTATAGTCAATGGAACGTCCACAACGGTGCTCTCTCGTCAGCACCATCTGTCAGCAGCGTTCGTTCGTCCTCATACCCTGCACCGCCACCGCCACAGCAGCATCAGTGGCCTTCTCAGCCTCCAGCTTACCTCGATGCCAACCCCTCGGCTCCGCCAGCGCTGAGCCAATCTGCACCGCCATCAGGCTCCCCCTATCCTGCCCCAGGGAGCAGTCATGATGACACGCCTCCTTCGCCTGGGAGCGACTACGTTCCTCCATCAAGGGTGACGCATCGGCGTGGGTCTAATACTAGAGAGCAATACGGCAATGGTGGCAGAAGCACGGGGAACCCTCCTGTTGGTATTACACGGTGCTCTAGCTGCAAGGTCACTCACAGCCCTGAATGGAGAAAGGGTCCCAGTGGTAAGAAGGACCTCTGCAATGCGTCAGTGTTCCATGCGTTTTGTGTTCGTGCTTTCATTGAGTTTTGATTTATTTTAATTTGTTTCTTAGATGTGGATTGCGCTACGCGAGATCACGGGCCAAGAAAGATGGTGGATCGTCAGCTCAATCGCGACGTCGCAAGGACAGAGTGTTCAACAACATGCAGAAAGAACATTCACCCTCAGGGTCACCCGTTCCTGCTCCGTACTCGAACATCCGTCGAAGTAGTTATTATGAAGATCATTCTTTCGCCTCAACATCTGCGAATGGGTCGGGGCCAGCGGCTGATTTGTATCCGCCGCATCCTGCGCCCACGGGGTACGGCGGCATCTCACCATCACCCTCCCCTCCATCAGGAGGTATGCACTACGCTCCATATCCGCATCAGCCCTCTTCCCATCACAACCAAAATCCTCATGGGGAGAACCGTCCCCATTATGCCGCTCATGGAGGGCAGTTCTATTCGGTCCCGCCACCGGCGCCGCCTCCGCAGGCCATGCATCCCACCTCCGGCCATAGCCATCTCCCTGGACACCGATTGGACCCTATTGTACCATATTCAAGTTCCAGCCGCCTCTCACCCGGTCCATCACCTACGTCGCCTACCGCAGGCTCGCCGTTAGGTGGGGGCCTCTCTGCCTCGTATGAGCGTGAGAGGCCGGCTAGGGACCACGACTGAAACGATTCGTCTTTTTTTTTT